CATAATTTCTATTTGATTCTTTTTTATGATATCTATCTTTTTGATAAATTTCTCATTCATGTTCTAAATTGTTTTTCTAATTTCTTCGTATTGTTCATGTGAGTTGTTTTGTATATCACTGAGATTCTTTAATATCATTATTTTTGAATTCTTTTTCTGGAACTTCATGAATGTCTTTTTCATTGGAATTTGTTGCTAGAGAATTATTATGTTCCTTTGGAGCTATAGTATCTCTTTGCTTTATTATGTTTATTGATGATTTACATTGATATCTGTGCATCTGGTATAGCAGCTACTTATTACAATTTTTTTGAATTTGCTTTTATAGGGGAGGACTTTTTCCTGAACATGTATCTATGATGTTGGTTTGATATAGCACTTTGGCTTTGATTCTGGGTGAATCCAGCAGTTTAGTCTCTGTATGATTTTTTCATTTGTAAGGGTCAGCAGTGCTTGTAATTTCCTCAGTGGCTTAGGGTGTGGTTGTTAGTGGAGGTTGTGGTAAAGTTTTCCTGGGGATGAGGATGCTAGGTGGGCCAGTCCTCAATCATTGGCAGGTGCTCGAGGTGGCAGTGGCAGGTTGAGCATACCGGTCCTTTGGTCCTACGGTGGCATATGCTGGCCCTGATATTAGTGGATTCAGACAGGCCAATTCTTGGACCCCCAGGTGGCTTGCTTGGATGCCAGCAGTGAAAGCAGTGGCCTGGGTGGCTGGGAGGGTCCTTGGGCCCTTAGGCAGTGGGCATGGTGTTGGTGACAGCAGTAGTAGTGGTGAGACAACCCTTAGGCTCCCAAATAGTTTGCACTGGTGTTGGCAGTGACTGTGACAGGCCAGGCAGTATCAACGCTTGCAGGTGGCATGGGTGAGTGGATGGTGTGAGTGGGTGGGTGCTAGTTGTGGTGTTAGGTAAGTTGGGTGGGTTTGTCCTCAGGCCCCTGGAAGGAGTGCTCAGGTGCCAGTGGTGGTGAATGGGGCAGGGCCATTCCCAAGCCTCTGGATGGTGTGCTTGGGCACACCCCACTGGGGCAGTGGGGTGGGTTTTAACTTGGTTAAGTATTCCTGTTCTCTGGTGGTACATGTGGGTGCTGGCTGTGCTAAGCAGGCTAGGGGTGGTCCCCATGCCTCCAGCAGAATGGCTGGGTGGGGGTGGCAACGACTGCATGGTGGCCCTGAGGCCCTGCTGGAGAGGGTGGAGATAGCATGGCAGCAGTTATAAACAGCTGACTGGGGAAGTATGTGCTGTGGCCCCATATGGCAGAGGCAAGTGAGGTACCCCATCCTCAGGGTGCTCTTAAATTCAGGACGGCCTTGCTACTAGGGTCAGCAGGGTCATTGGCAAAGGCTTGTGCTTTGGCCCTGGCTGTGTTTAGAGGATGTCAAGGGAGCCCCAGGGAGGTGGAGATGAAGGGGCTATTGGGCCTTAGGGCAGAGTGCAGTCTGGTGGGGGCTGGCATTTCAAAATAGTGCCTTGCTGTAACTGTTTATAACACAGCAGGTGAGTGGAACTCAGTGTGAGCCCCTCTCCAGAGGCGTGCTGCTGCATGATCTCCCGGCAGATCCCTGCGTTTGTCTCAGGGCCTGTATGGGTCTAGGGGTTCTCCCATGACTAGGATTGCAGGCGTCTGTGGTGGAAATGTGGGCTGCTGGGGTCACTCACTTAACTTTTTCCATGTGAGGGAGTCTGGAGAACCTTTTATCACATTAGAGAGCCTCTGTAGGCTCCCAGTGGATCCTGGCTGAGCAGACTGCCTACTTCCTTCTTCTTTGCCTCACATGTTTCCTGTCACTTATTTTTTGAATTCCAGTGTTCTTGCTTATGTGATCTGTTTGAGCTGCAATTATCTATTCGCTATTTCGGTTCTTGTTTGTGGAGGAGGCGGGCACCAGGTGCCTCTAGTCAGCCAGCTTGAAGTTCCCCTCTAACTTTTTCTTGGATTTTTGATAACTTCCCAGGTGATAATGGTGCCCATTTGTCCCAAGGAACACACTTTGAGAACCACTGGACCAGTGGTTTGGGAGACCAATCAGAAATCTTTTGCATTTATCTATGCAAAATACTAAATGCTGAAAATAGAGTTAAAGAGGAGGGGTGGTTTCCACAAATACAGGGGAGCTATAATTAACAGAACTCGATATCAGACCAGAGTATGCCAGTGAAGGGGAGATGGAAGTCTTGATTGACTTCTAGATTCCTAATGTTGGTAGGTGGATGAAGAACCGTGGTACCTTTGTCTCAATATATAGCCTAAAGGAGAGGAAGCCGGCTGGTGTTGATAGGGTGGAGCTGTTGTGTATGTCATTTTAGACATGTCAAATTGAGATTATGTGGGTAGTTTAAATGGAGATGTCTTTTAGGAAAGGAGATGACCATGTTGAAGATGCAGATGTGTACAATTCTACAGGAGAAATTATAGGTTGTTTGTGAAGACAGTAAGGTACAGAGAACAGAACTCTGGGATATGCACACATTTAAGGTGCAATCAGAATATTCATCTTCAAAAGGACCGAGAAGAAATGTTAGGAGCCCTGGAAAAAGTTTCTATAAGAGTGTCATCAACATGTCAATACTATAGGGAGGTCAAATGATGATACACAGATTCAAACATGCCTATTGCATTGAGGAACCAGAAAGTGATAGAAAACCTTAATAAAAGGGTTTTTGTCAAGCAGCAGGTTTGGGCCCAGATTGCATTGACTGGTTGTTAGAAACTGGTTTTCAGGAGAGAGTGTACACCTTCTGCTTCTTTGATATTAAATTCCTGTTTTCTAAACTCTGAAGAGGACAATGCTATGGCTAGAAATACTTTGCTGTACTGATAGATGGATATTCAAGTTTTAACCTGATTTTTCTAGGTGGAATTTAGAAAAATGTTTAAAGAGTCAATTTAGAATCAAAATCTATATGTTGTTGCTGTCTTGCAAAAGCAGCACCTTTTGGGAGATATTGTCCCCTACCACAGAGACTTTCAGAAATGATCAGGGAGGGGCCAGACAGCAATGGCCTATGCCTGTTATTTCAACACTTTGGGAGGCCAAGGTGGGTGGATCACCTGAGGTCAGGAGTTCAAGACCCACCTGGCCAACATGGTAAAACCTTGTCTCTACTAAAATATGAAAAAAATAAGCCGGGCGTGGTGGCTCATGCCTGTAATCCCAGCACTTTGAGAGGCCGAGGCAGGCAGATCACGATGTCAGGAGTTTGAGACCAGCCTGACCAACATGAAGAAAACCTGTCTCTACTAAAAATTAAAAAAAAAAAAAAATTAGCTGGACATGGTGGTGGGCATCTGTAATCCCAGCTACTCGGGAAATTGAGGCAAGAGAATGGTTTGAATCCGGGAGGTAGAGGTTGCAGTGAGCTGAGATCGCACCATTGCACTCTAGCCTAGGCAACAAGAGCCAAACTCAGTCTCAAAATAATAAAAATAAAAATAAAAAAAGCTGGGCATGGTGGTGTGTACCTGTAATCCCAGCTACTCAGGAGGCTAAGGCACAAGATTCACTTGAACTCGGGAGGCGGAGGCTACAGTGACCCAAGATCACGCCGTTGCACTCCAGCCTGGGCAAAAGAGTGAGGNAAAAAAAAAAAAAAAAAAAAGAAAGAAAAGAAAAAAAGAAATGATCAGGATGGCTTTGGGGGTTGGCCCTTCTGAAAGTGTTTTGTTTTGTTCCCCACCCCCATTCATGCTGGGGAACCAAGAGTGCTCTTATTGCTGTTAAGAATATTGTTTTACTCTGTGACTTCCTGTAACAGTTACATATGATTATTTGATTACTATCCTGACTGATCCAACTTAAACCAAAATGGAAGACAGGGTCCATAAATGCAATAACTGTTAGGGCAGCTGTCACTTCCGGTAATTTGTCTAGAATCATTTTTCTTTCCTTTTCTTCCATTGTTTTTCTAAGCACATTTACAACAAAATACTGGGAGTAAATAGAAAATGCTGCCCTTCACACGATCAGAGCCTGGGATGAGTTTCATAAGCGGGATTTCCTAGTAATGCTGTTGTCTGGAAAACATGGTCAAAAAATATCTATGTGCTCTACAACAGCCTACCCACCTCTGTTTTAGGAAAACCTTCCCATGGGTTCATGTGCCCTGATTCTTCCAGACTTGCTGGAAATCCAGACTTGAGACTGTGTTGATGAAGCCTTTTTAATTTGATACTTGTATTACTCTGTTAATTATTTGGAAAGTTCTCCATAAAATGTGGGTCAAATGCAGAATGAGAGGAGTTTCCAGTAAAGCAGTGAGCTTTCTATGTGACCCCAATGAAAGCATATTTCTTTGTTTTGTAATACAACCAAACTAACCTAGCAGATTCTCTATTATCAGAAATGACGCTGACCTAACTGCTCTTGCATTTGTGGACCCTGCCTTCCATTTTGGTTTAAGTTGGGTCAATTCGAATAGTAATAAAATAATCATACCCAACTGTTATACAAAGTCACAAAGTAAAATGATATTCTTAATAGTAGACTAATCTAGCAGAACTTTCTATGTGACCCAAATGAAAGCACATTTTAAAAAAATTTTATGGTGCAACCAAACTAATCTGACAGATTCTCTATGTGTGTGCTTTTATTTTGCCCTTCACTCGTTGTTGTGTTTTAAGGCTTCACATAAAAAAAAGAACACTTCAACTCTCAGGCTGCAAATGATCCTATGTGTAATCCTGATTTTACAGAGAGACCAGACTAACTTCCTAGACCATTAGAAATTTTACTTGTTGACAGATCAGGCTCTCAAAAGACTTGTTATAAAACGTGTCTTTGAGGCTGATGAGAATAATGGAGGAAAATGGTGGATTTTGAAGATTTGTGACATAAAACCCAAAAGCTCTCTTCAAACATTAAAAAAATAAACTTTTTTGAATACTTAGGTAATGACACAAGATATTTTCTCTTAATTTATTCTTCATTTAGGACTTCTAGAAATGCTAGTAAGCATGTTGGAGTTCAAATTAACATTTTCCCCTTTTACTTTCTTGAGCAGGTGGTCAAGTTATTAAGCAACAAAAGATCACAAGCAGTTGGAATACTAATGTCTAGTCTTCATTTAGATATGAAAGACATACAACATGGTAAGTGTGAATAAAAATTTAGCTTTTGAATATTAACATTTGGGCTGAAGAATATGATGTTTGGTGGTAAAGTTATTTCAAACTTAGAGTTTCTGTATAGACTAAGGTTAGCGTATTCCCCGTAAGTGTGATCAAGCTACGTCCCACGATTGTTTCTGGAAGGATTTCTATTAATTTGCCTGTGGCATTATTTATATACTTTACTAAGAGTCTAATTCTCACATGACATTATTATCCTAGTTCTGGCTGCCATAACAAAGTACCCCAGACTATTGGCTGATAAATAAGAGAAATTCGTTTCTCACAGTTCTAGGAGGCTGGAAGTTCAAGAAAGGGAGGCCAGCATATTCAGTTCAGGTGAGGACCCTCTTTCAGGTTGCAGCTGTTTCCCTCTATCCTCAACTGGCAGAAAGAAGGAAAGAGAGTTTTCTTGGGTCTGTTTTATAAGGGGACTAATCCCATGCATGAGAATTCTTGGGGCCTAATGACCCCCTCCAGGATTCCGTCTCCTACTACCTTCACATGGGAGTGAGGATTGCAACATATGAACAGAAATATTTTCTGTTTGGAATTGGAGTGGTTCTTAACATTTTATAAATAGCTTTAGAGTCAATATTTTAATGCTTGAATTCTATCATACAATTGATGGGCATTCTCATGCCATATCCTTGGATGGCAGATATGCTGAGAGATACCACCCAAAGGTGAATAGAGGAATTAAATTTATATTTGGAGTATCCCTTAAGCTGCCTAGATCCTAAGAATAGAATTAAAGCAGAATTACCCAATGGAATGCCAGTTTACCTATTAAAGAAATATGGTTTCAAGAATAACACAGAATTTATACATCACGAAAGCATTTAACTGGCTTTTTAGCTTACCCCTTAATGAATGTGGATTCTATTTGTTGGATTTAAAATATTGTGTGGGATAATTCATAAATAGCACAAGCATGGTATGCCCTGTCAATTGATGAGTAACTCTTAATCACAATTTAAGTTTTTATTAAATTGTTTTGATGGGGAGGAGACTTCCTCAAGCTGAAACATTTGGGGTAATAGTCATAGAAGAGGAGGCCAAGGCTGGCGCCAGGCGGCACTTGATGTTTCTAAAGCTGGCACATGTAGCCCAGTTAAGTCATACAATGAAATCTGAAAATAATGATATGGTTCTTTCCTTCAGTCAAATATTCAACTCGGGTTGAGTTAATAATGAGAACCTTATGAACAAGGAAGTCCGCCTGACATCTGTGTCTGTGGTAAAGCCAGTGAGAGTTCATTGAAAATGTGCTTGATTCACATGCAACGCTAGCAATAACATGGCATGAAAGGCAGTAGTTGAAGGGTCATACAGAATTATGCATAAACTTTATCCCATTAGGATGTGAAGTGATTGCTTTAGTCCCTTTGAAACCCTGTGCACTTTTTTTTTTTTTTAAAAAGGCCACCTTCCAAGTGTAAAGCAGCAAGAGGTTGTGCCCTTCTGCAGGTGAAGTCCTGCTCTGCCTTGGTGTATTGTCTGGAACCAGGATTTACATGTGTGAATCTCTTGTGGCCTCTAGAGTAAACTTGACTTCTCTCAGGATGTGCCTCCACTGAGAAATCCACAGAAGCATAAACATCATTGATTTTGGATGTAAAAGTGGCCACAGAATTTATCTAGCCCTCCAGCATCATTTAAACACGTTATTATTTCCATAGATTTTTGGGGAATGGGTGGCATTTGGTTACATGGTTCTTTAGTGATGATTTATGAGATTTTGGTGTACCTATCACCCAAGCAGTGTACGCTGAACCCGATTTGTAGTCTTTTATTCCTCACCCCTCCCCCGCTTCCCCCAAGTCCCCAGAGTACATTGTGTCATTCTTATGCCTTTGCCCCCTCCTAGCTTAGCTCCTACTTATGAGTGAGAACATATAATGTTTGGTTTTACATTCCTGAATTACTTCACTGAGAATAATAGTCTCTCCAATTCCATCCAGGTTGCTGCGAATGCCATTAATCTGTTTCTTTTTATGGCTGAGTAGCATTTTATCATATGGAATATGCCACAATTCTTTATCCACTCCTTGATTGATGGGCATTTGGGCTGGTTCCGTATTTTTGCAATTGCGAATTGTACTGCTATAAATGTGTGTGTGAGTATCTTTTTCATATAATGACTTCTTTTCCTCTGGGTTGATATCCAGTAGTAGGATTGCTGGATAAAATGGTAGTTCTACTTTTAGTTCTTTAAGCAATCTCCACACTGTTTTCCATAGTAGTTGTACTAGTGTACATTCCCACCAGCAGCATAGAAGTCTTTCCTGTTTACTGCATCCATGCCAACATCTATTATTTTTTTATTTTTTTAAATATGGCCGTTCTCGCAGGAGTAAGGTGGTATTGCATTGTGGTTTTGATTGCATATCCCTGATCATTCGTTTTTTTGTGGGGGTGGGAGGAATAAAAATGCTCAGTGATGCTGAGCATTTTTTCATGTTCGTTGGCCATTTGTATGCCTTCTTTTGAGAATTGTCTATTTATGTCCCTAGCCCACTTTTTGATGGGATTTTTTGTTTTCTTGCTAATTTGAGTTCCTTGTAGATTCTGGACATTGATCCTTTGTCAGATGTATAGATTGTGAAGACTTTCTCCCACTATGTGAGTTGTCTGTTTACTCTGCTGGCTGTTCCTTTTGCCCTGCAGAAGCTCTTTAGTTTAATTAAGTCCCACCTATTTATTTTTGTTTTTGTTGCATTTGCTTTGGATTCTTGGTCATGAAGTCTTTGCCTAAGCTAATGTCTAGAGAGTTTTTCCGATGTTATCTTCTAGAATTTTTATAGTTTCAAGTCTTAGATTTAAGTCCTCAATCTATCTTGAGTTGATATTTGTATAGGCTGAGAGATGAGGATCCAGTTTCCTTCTCCTACATGTGGCTTGCCAGTGATCCCAGCACCATTTGTTGAACAGGGTGTCCTTTCCCTACTTGATGTTTTTGTGTGCTTTGTCAACGATCAGTTGGCTATAAGTATTTGGCTTTATTTCTGCGTTCTCTATTCTGTTTCATTGGTGTATTTGCCTATTTTTATACCAGTAATCATGCTGTTTTGGTGACTGTGGCCTTGTAGTATAGTTTGAAGTCAGGTAATGAGATGGTTCCAGATCCGTTCTTTTTGCTTAGTCTTGCTTTGGCTCTGTGGCATTTTTATTGACAGGCAAACTAAGACCTGTGAGTGGTCCAGTTTCCCTCTCAGTATCATGCAGCTCCTTAATGGAACAGGTTGAACTTGCACCCAGGCCCCTTCATTAACCAGTACTTTTTGTTTTCATTCAGATAAGCTGCTTCTCCAAGATTCTGCTTTTCTTACCACCAGCATTGGCTTCTCTAAGACAAAGTATATGTAATAAACAGCAAGAATCATTTCTCTCCTTCTCTTCTTTGCTGTCAGTACTCTAGGGTTGCATTTACTTTGCAATGTTTGTATTTCAGAGCGCTCCATTAGAGTAATTAGTGTGTAGGGTTTGGATTCTTGGTGTTGGAAGTTCTAACCCTGCCTGCTACCATACCTACTGACCACCACTTGCGCAGCCTCTTATTTGAACACAGGTTATTTCCACAATAACAGATGTGGAGCATTCTCGGCAACACTTACATTCAAAAGGCAGAGAGGGGTGAAGAGATCAGGTTCTTGACTAAGTTTATTAACACAGCAGATGTAAGGAGGCATCCTCAAATAATTAACTGTGTGTGTGCGTTAGTTTTTAAAAGTTACAAGGAAGGCCTGAGCTGCTGGAATGCAGTAGTGCGTCTTTTGGTAACATTCAAACTGGCCTACACTTATAATACCTGTGAAAAATCTTACTCTGTGGTTTACAGTGATTTGAAGTCTGAGATGAAAGTGCCTTCCAGAGAAGATTTACGCTTTTGTGTGTGTGTGTTAGGGCCTGAGGGCACTGTGGATTTAGGATCACCGTGAATCAAGCTCTGGGGGTCACTTCAGGCAGTGCCCACTGTTCATCTATGGCATGGGTTAGTTTCCCTGTCAGTATAGCCCATTGAGTCCCATTTCATTGTGGAGCATGTCTAGAATCTCTATGTTGAGTGGCTTCTGGGCTTTGATATTTGGCCCCTGGCACCATGAAATTGTCAAGAGAAAGTTCCTATTTGTTAGGACAGGCAAATACACTCAGGGCAAAAGCAGTTTGTGGGCTGGGTCCCTTCTCTGAGATGAGTTGGTTCTTCCTTTGGTTTAGCACTGTAAGTCTTTATTATCTTGTCAGCTCTTTGCTGTCTTTATGGTATTTTACATATGTTTTACTCAGCATTTTTAGTTGTTGTTAGTGGGGGGATTGATTTCAAATAATTCTAGCCTGTTATTCCCATAAATTGATATTATAAGGGTCTCCTCCAGCTTCATAGTGGTAGTTCAGTTTCATGAAAATTGAATTTTTTTTTTTTTTGTAGAAAGTGATTTATTTAGAGAGAGAAACCAGAGAAGGAGAGAAACAAACAGTTAACTCTCACACTGAGTGAGAGAATCCAGAAAGATGGAATCCAAGGGAGGAAAGCAGCTTCCACACTGAGTGGAAGGGAATAGAGAGAGATGGAGTTTAGGCTTCCACGAGAGAGTGTGGAAGGGGACTCCAGAGGGAAAATCAAGGAGAGAGAAAAACAGCTTCCACGAGCAAGAGAGTGTTCGTGGAAGGGGATCCAAACATGGAGTCCTGAAAATTGATTGAACTTTTATGCTTCATTTGGTCCGTATTTCAGGGGTTAGTGTGCCCTTTACAGATCGTAGGTCCGTTTTCATAGATAGTAGTAGCTGCAAAAGAATTTGCAGTTCCATAAAGTTCAGCTTTATCCCCCCATAATGTCATGGTTAGATAGAAATACCATATAATTTATCATCCTAACTGGGATAACTTTAAGAGCGGAAAAGGATGTTTTTGATATATTGCTTGGATAACAAGTGTAAAGTGAAAACTTTTCTCTCTCTCTTTTTTTTTTTTTTTTTTTT